GGGCCCCCCGGGAACCCCCGACCACAAGGTGCGTGAAAGGAGGCGGCTGGACGGGAGGGGCCTCGAGGACCCCTGTTCTCCGGGGCCCTTGGGCGGAGGGGACAAGGGCGGGGACTCATGGGTCGGCTCTGAGTCCCCCGTCCTCCCTAGCGGGTCTCCCAGGTGCGTTGCACTGCTCCAACCGCAGCGTCCTCTCGGACGCACCTTGCAGCAAGGACTACCCCGGGCGCCTGACGGACGCCATGGTGTGTGCGGGAGTCGAGGGCGGAGGCACGGACTCCTGTGAGGTCAGAGCCCAGAGGGACGGGGCAGGCTGGGGAGTTAGGGCGGGGTTGGGGTGTGTTTGCCTTGGGCCAGAGAAGATGTCGGGGTTCGGCTCGGAGACGAGCAGTGAGAAGGGGGGTGAGGTTGGGGAGATGAGGGTTGTGTCGTCTGGGGTGGATGATGCGGCCGTTGGTCTGGCACGGCATGGCTTGGGGTTGAGAATGGGAATGGGCCTGGTTTAATCCTGGATAGGAAATGGGTTAAACTGGATGATGTAGATTGTGTTTGGGATAAGAAGCCGTGAAGATTTGGATCGGGTGGGAGGGTGGGCGGGGGTAGGAGAATGGACAAGATGTGGGGTTGAGTTGGGCCTAGTTGAGTTCAGTTGGGGTTACCTGGGGTTAGGTTGGACCTGGGTCGGGGAGTTGTGTTGAGTTGGGATAAACTGGGCTGCACTGGGTTGGGTTGGGGTTGCCTGGGGTGAGGATGGATTGGGTTTTGGTTGAGACTGCGAATGGTGGCGAGGACAGGGACGGAGGCACTGGATCCTGGAGGTTCTTACTCATCCTGAGACACCCCCTTCTCTCCACAGGGTGACTCCGGGGGACCCCTGGTCTGTGGGAGCTTCATGCAAGGCATCATGTCCTGGGATGATGTCCCTTGTAATACCACCACCAAGCCCGGTGTCTATACCAGTCTGCCTCTACCTGGAGTGGATCAGGGAAACCATGAAGAGGAACTGACTGTTTGGGCCTGCCTCCCGGGCCCCTGACTGAGCAGAAGCTCAGGCCTCATCCTGGCTCGTGGCAGAATGGAGCCACCCCCCAAGACCCTGTACCAGAAATTAGCCAAGGACTTGTCCCACCGGAAGGCGGAGGGTCACCTGTTAACGCCAAGATAACAAAGAACATTGACCCAAGTTTCTCTGTAGGAGTTTCTGTGACTTTCCTCTGGGGGATAATGGGAAACCAAAGACACTGTATGCTGCTCCTTTTCACCCACTGCCCCGATGCCCAGGTGTGGGGAGACGGCTTGAAGCAAGGTTCTGTTCATGTGACCCTTATGACCGACCATGTGATCTTGAACAAGAGGCCAATCTCACTCAGCCTTGGCTTCCCCATCTGTAAAATGGAGATCATCATATTTCATACCTCAAAGGGTTGTTGTGAGGATTAAACGAGATAATTCAGCGAACCAGCTAGAATCATATCTGGCATTGGGTAAATACTCTCTATCTCTGGGTCCCAGTGAAAGGACCTAGCAAACACTAGATGACCAAGGATGACTTTTTCTTCAAAATTTAGTTCTGAGCTTCCAGGTAGCCATGGCATACAGCAGAGGCTGGGACCCTGTGAGCTGCTTTGATTTTTACAAAAGAAAAAAAGATAACATGTTGGAAAGCCCCTGGGTTTACCATTGAGGCTGCAAAATATGAGACCCTAAAATATGTTTTCCAAGGTCATTGAATGCGGCAATCCAGGAACCTGGCTCTTGAGACCTAATATTGTATTGGTGGGATGGGGGGTGGTCGTTGGAATGTGTGGTTAGGATGATCTTGAGCTGGGAGAGAAAATTGACTTTGGAGGACATGACCTTGAGCACCCGTATCTGGGGAATGAGGAGTTGGGGGGGGTCACTGGGACCCCAACATTGGTGGAGGACACTGGATTTTGTAATGCTCTAGGACTTAACCCTGGGAAACCCCTGGAATGTCATATTCCTGGATCTGGAGGCACTCAGATTGTGGGGGGTGTACCCCAACATCTTATTATGAAAGAAACAGTAGCTTTGGGGACCTAGATCTCAGGACTGGGGGTGTGAGAAGGGGAGCATTCTGAAAGCCAAGGCTTCTATTTTAGGGGGAGTAAGCTGGTATCTTGGCTCTGAGGGTGCAGGGAGCTGGAGCCCTCACTGTTGGTATTTGAGATGCAGGTGTGAGACTTGAGGTGCAGGGCCTACATTGGGGTTTAAACATATGGGACTATGTACTGGGGGGTCAGTAGTTCCTCCGCCCTCCAGTCTCTGCTCCTCATCACCCCGTGGCCTCACTGGCCCTGCCCCCCAGAGCCCAGGGAGCTACAGGCCCTTCCCCACCTGGCTTCAGCCCCATGAAGGCATCCAACGTCACCTGGGACCTTCGGGACAACAGGTGCTGACTCTCCCTTCCCTTCCACATCTCTGGGGGTGGGAGGGGTGGTTGTCCAGCCTCCCCCACTCCCACCCCCAGCAACAGGGCAGGGCAGGGGCGGGGCTCTGGGAGAATGAGGGCTTTTAAAGCGCTCCCCGGGGAGGTTCCTTGGCTCCTAGCTCACCACCTGCCAGCCCCTGGACACCTCTTTCACCATGTGGTTCCTGGTTCTGTGCCTCGCCCTGTCCCTGGGGGGGACTGGTGAGACGGGGTTGTGGGAGGGGGGTGGGCCCTGACTCTCGTGCTGTCCTCGCTGCCCCATGCGTCCTTCCCCTCCAGCTCCCCGTCCTGCAGTTCCCCCCCAAAACCCCACCCTAAGAGCCCACCCCAGCCTTGCCATGTGTCCCAGTCCTCACCCCCTTCCAGGAAGCCCAGTCCTTTCTCCTCTTCCCTAGTCAACCCCTGCCCCAGCCGCTTTACCCGAGGTCAGATCCTGGGTCATCTCTGTCCCTCTTTGGAGGACCCCAACTCTTCCACGGACTCCCCCACCCCCACCGGACTCCGGAAACCTGATCATCCCCTCCTGTCTCCTAATTTTCTGTGGCCCAATGTTCTGGCTCCCAAGTCCACAAAGCCCACCACGCGCCAGTGACTTTTTCCATCTAGCTGTCGGCTCTCAGCTATGTCCTCCAGACCCTGACACCTGGTCCCTCCGGATCCGCCCAGGCCCCCCCAAATTCCACCAGGCAACCCTGCTTCTCAAACAAGCGCATGACCCAGATGTGTCCCCATCTGGCATGGGGGATCTGCGGATGGCCCAGAGCCCCATCTGGCACCCCCAGCTTTCCCAGGGAAAGCACTCAAGCCCTCCAACCACATGCCCCTTTCCTTAGGGAATGTCTACCCACCCACCCCCCAGGCCTAGCCCTCCTCCCGAGTCCCTCCTGCACAGCTCTGGTCTTCTAGGCCCCCACTCCCAGGATTCCAAACATTAAGCCCCGACCTCCCCCAAGGCCGCCAACATAGCATTCTAAAGCCTCACGGTTCCTCTTCCAGCCCTGTGCTTGGACCGCCTTCAAGAGGACCTCAAGTCCCTCCAGTACCCTCAGTCCAGGAAGCCCATCCCCATGAGAAACAAAGACCCTGTCCCTTATTCTATCCCAGAATGACTGTCATTCAGCCCTCCCCGCCCTGTCCCGGTCCTCTCCCCACCCTGCTCTCAGGGTCCTAACCTCCTCTTTGATCCCTCTTCCTGGGCCACAGGAAGGATCTCCAGACCTCGCAGGAGCTCATGCCAACCTTCACCCTAACGCTTTCTTTTACCCTTTAACCGGGAAGCCCCCAAATCTAACTCTGCCGGCCCAGCTGACCCCCTGCAGCCCCAATCTTAGGACCCCAAATCACCCCCAAACTCCCAGCCCAGATGCCCTTCTCCACCTCTCAGACCCGGTTCCTAAAGCTGGAGCCTTTTCTGAATCCCAGAAGCCCAACCCAGGCCCTGTTTCCCCAGCCCCTTAACCCTCCAAGTTCTCCCCCATCCAGCCTCTGATACTCTGTCTTGGGGCCTGACCCCCAGTTTCTGCAAGCCCTGTTCACTCTTCTAACCCACCACCTCCCATTCTCCAGTCCAAGACCCCAAGTGGTCCAACCCCAGACCCAGTGCTTGCTCCCAGCACTGTCTCCTGTCTCCTGCATCTTCCCAGGGTCTGCTGTGCCCTCAGGGCAAAGTCTCCCCACAAGGACCAGCCCCCAGACCACAATCCCAGGACCCACTCCAGAAGCCCGGGCCCCTCCCATCCCCCTCAGGGGTGTCCCCAGTACCCCCACCCTGGTTCTCTGCTCCCCCGTCCCATGTCCCTTCAGTCCCACAGCACAGCTCCTCTGCTAGCCTGGTTCCCCTCCCTTCCTGCCGACCCTGCACCCTGACCCAGTCCCTCCCCTTGCAGGTGCTGCGCCCCCCATCCAGTCCCGGATCGTGGGGGGCTGGGAGTGCAAGAGCCATTCTCAACCCTGGCAGGTAGCTCTGTACCATTACAGCAACTTCCAGTGTGGGGGCGTCCTGATACACCCCCAGTGGATACTCACGGCTGCCCACTGCTTCAGCGAGTGAGTAGAGCCTGGGGCCAGGGGGATGGAGGGGTGTCTGTGTCCCACAAGAGTAACAGCTGGGCATGTCCCCTGAGGTGGCCTCAGGTGAGGCTGGGGACTGAGGGAGAGGGGAAAGGTTCTGGTTCAGGCCTTGGAGGGAGGCAGAGCTGGACGGGACCCCCTCCTGGGACTTTTCTGCATCTCTGCGTCTGCTCTCACTGTGTCTCTCAGTGCTTGGCTCTGGTTGTGCGTGTGTGACTATATTTTGGTCTCTATCTCTGTGTCTGCATCTCTCCTGTCTCTGTCCGTCTCGGGGTCGTGCTGTGGCCATCTATGTGACTGTGTGTCTCACCCTCCATCTCTCTGTCCATCTCTCTCTGGGTCTGTGTCTCACCCGTCCCCATCACTACTGGACACTCGAAGTTGTGCAGTCCCGGCTGCAGCTTTCTGCCTCTGCCTTCATTTCATGTAGATTGATGAGTTTCTTTGTAACCTCAGTGTTTCTGATAAAAATTTTTTTAAAAGAAGAAGAAAAAACAAAGGAACTTACTGCTACAGGTTTTTTTCTCTCTCCATGTGTCACTAAGTGAAGTTTGTGCCTTCTGTAGCAAAGACAATATTTTTTATATCTTACTAACAGACTTTTTGGTAGTGAGCATTTTTTGTATCACTACTGGACACACCCCAAAATGGGCCTACAGAAACCCCTTAGAGACAGAAGGGCTTCCTCCCCAGCATGGGTGCATGTGGGGAATGCCTCTCCTCTGCCCAGCCCCCTCCAGGACGTTGTCCACTCTGGGGAGACCCAGGGAAGGACTGGTTTCAGCTGGAGTTGGGAGGAGGCGACCTTGGGCTGTGGGCCAGGCCACCACCCCTGGGGAGCCCGCACCTCGGCCTAGCTGCAGCTGGGCCTAGCTGCAGCTGAGCGGCTCCCAGGCCTCCCCTCCTCCCTACCTGCCACCCTCCTCCTTGTCCTCCCACCCTTTCCTCCCCACACTCTCACCCCTGCTTCCTCTCTGCCTCAGTTTCTCCTTCCTCTCTGACATTCTGCCTTCCTCTGTGTCTGCTCCTCACTCCCTTCCTGCTTCTGTTCCCCTTCCCTTCCCCAGGACTCTCTCTCCTCCTGTCTCTCTTGCTCCCTCGGTCTTTCCCTGTCCTCCTCCCACCCGCTCCCTCCCTCTGTCCTTTCAGACCCTCTCTTTCCGATGGTTTCTCTCCATCTTTGACACTGTCACACTCCTTTTTTCCTCCCTGTCTCTCTGAATATCTTTCTTCCTCCATCAGCCCTCACTTGTGCTTTTCTTTTTCTTTCTTTTTAAAAATATATTTATTTTGTTCTTGTTGTAGAGATGGGGTCTCACTATGGTGCCCAGGCCTCCCAAAGTGCTGGGATTACAGGCGAGAGCCGCCTTGCCCTGCCTGCTCCCCATGCTCCCCTGCCCCATCTCCCTGTCCCCCTCCTCCCTCCTCACCCCTCCATCCCCATCTTTCCCCAGCAATTACCAGCTCTGGCTGGGTCGGCACGACCTGTTTGAAAGCGAAGAAGTTGAAAACGAGGCCCAATTTGTCCAGGTCAAGCAGAGCTTCCCACACCCTGACTTCAACATGAGCCTCTTGTTGAACCACACCCGCCTCCCGGGCGAGGACTACAGCCATGACATCATGCTGCTGCGCCTGACGGAGCCCGCCAAGATCACGGACACGGTGAAGGTCCTGGACCTGCCCACTCAGGCACCCCAAGTGGGGACCGTCTGCCTGGCTTCGGGCTGGGGCAGCATCAACCCAGGACCAACGAAGTGTATGTCGGGGCAGACGGTGCCACCTGGAGAGGGGACAGGGACTTCCGGGGCCTAGGGAGGCGGGGCCAAGCAATGGGGGCGGGGGGTCTGGCCACAGCACATTCCCTCCCTGTTTGTAGTCCAATACCCGGACACCCTCCAATGTGTGGACCTCAAAATCCTGCCTAACGCCGTGTGTGCAAAAGCCCACTTCCAAAAGGTGACAGAGGGCATGCTGTGTGCCGGCTACTTGGAAGGGGGCAAAGACACCTGCAGGGTGAGCCTGCCCCTCCCCCCAGGGTCTTAAGGGCTGGGGGTGGGACATGCAGCCTCTGAACTGGCTTGGAGAGTTAGCAGGCCTCTGCTCCACTGCTTCCAGTTGCAGGCCACCCCCAGAGCCTCAGTTCCCTCCTCCTCCCCTCCTTCCCTCGCCCCACCCAGGTCCCACAGCATCCCACCCGTCCTCAGCGTGGTCCACCATTCCTCGGGTTAACTCCCTCCAGAGGAAGCTTCCTGGGAAGGTGGCCTCTGGGATGAGGGGCTGCAGGGGGGCAGGGTCCTTGGATAGCCCAGCTCCCCCTGCCCTGACCTGCCTGCAGGGACTGTCCTGCCGCACCCCGCCCCCTGCACAGTTCCGTCCCCAGGACTCAGGCCACTGTTCCCTGTTGCAATTCCTGCCTGCCTTCTTCTGGGAGTGGACTCTGGAGGCTCCAGGCGTTAGAGCTGACCAGGCCCCCACCGGCCTTTTTCTCTCTCTCCCGCTCTGCTCCCAGGGTGACTCAGGAGGCCCGGTGGTCTGTGATGGCGTGCTCCAAGGCCTCACATCATGGGGCTACCTCCCTTGTGCCACCAGCAATAAGCCATCCGTCTACACCAGAGTGGCATTCTACCTGAAGTGGATCGAGGACACCATGACGGCCAACCCCTGAAGGCCCTGCCCTGCTCCCCACCCTCCAGTAAAATCAAATGTGCATCAAATGCCTGTGTCATCCTGGTGTCATCTGGCCTTCAGGATGCTGGGCACCTGGGTGCTCAGGACCCACTCAGCTGAAGCTAGGGCCACCCCAGCTGTCCCAGTCTTGCTCCTAGAGGCCTGCAGTCACTAGCGGGTGGGAGAAAGGAAGACTCAATGACAGATGTGAACAAACAGCTCAGATCCCAAAGGTTAAGACCAGTTCTGCCAGGCACGGTGCAATACCAGCACTTTGGGAGGCAGAGGCGAGAGGACTGCCCGAGCCCATGGGTTGGAAACCAGGCTGGGCAATATGGAGAGACCTCGACTCTGCAATAAATCAAAAAATTAGCCGGGCGTGGTAGCGCGCACCTGTAGTTCCAGCTACTTGGAAGACTGAGGCAGAAGGATCTCCAGAGCCAGCAGGTCGAGGCTGTGGTGGCCGGGAGCGGCCACTGCACTCCAGTCTGGGTGACAGAGTGAGACTCCTACTCAAAAAAAAAAAAAAAAAACTAAAACAAGGCACAATTCTCAGCCTGAGATCCCCTGGGAGAGGGAGGAGGCAATGGAGGGTCAGAGACTGAGAGGTTGGAAAGTGCCCAGGCTTTATTGAGCGGGGGAACCGAGAAGGGAGCAGCGGAGGGAGGTTACTGCAAGCCATGCCCCCCCCCGGGGAGGGGCCTGTTCTGCAGATGGGTGAAGCCACACCAAGCGCCGGGGTCGCAGTGTCCGCCTGGGGGCGCCCGCGGACATCCCGGGTGGGGCTGAAACTCCGGGAGAGGATGCAGGGCGCCTTCTCGGGTGGCCGGGGAAGGCTGGCGCCCAGGGGCGGAGCCACAAAAACCGGCCACACTGCCGGGACTTAGGGCACGCTGGACAAGTGTTTGCAGAAAGTGGGGGTGTCGGACTTCTGGGGGCGGGGCACCGAGGACCCAGTGAGCAGGGACAGAGCCGCAGGAGGCGGGCCCTAGAGCGAGATGGGCTTGCCACCTGCCCTGGGGGGCGTGGCCTGTCCTCCGGGAGTGGGGCCTCTGAGGAGGTCTAAGCTCGGGGGCGTGGCCACGCTGAAGGGGGCGGGCCCGGCATCCGGCCGTGGTTACAAGACAGTGTCCAGAGAAGCTCCGGGGCTGGTCCTTGGAGGGGGTGAGGGCTCCCCCTGGGTGGTCCCGGAGCCGGACAGGTCGCTGGTGGGCTCTGAGTACGAGCTCCGCTGTCGGGCCGCGCGCCTCAGGATGCCCTGCTGCAGGAGCCACAGGCGATGGCTCACCCGCAGCTCTGCCAAGGTCATCCCCCGCCTCCACATGCCCACTCGGTTCAAGTAGGACAGGACTCCTGGGGGGCAGTAGGTGGCCGTCAGACTCCGAGCCCCGCCCTCGGCCCCGCCCCGCCCTTCGAGGTCGACATTCCCTAGTGGTCGGCCCACTCCCGCCTGAGGCCCAGCCTCTGGCTGTCCCCCTGCCCAGCCCCCTGCCCTGCCAAGACCCCACCTTGC